ATCCATTAATTCTTCGAAGTTCACTTCTTTGAGCACTTCGAACACTTCTCTGATATGTGCGAACTGTTCCGGATCTGCGTTTCGAACATACTCGACTGCGTTGGCTATGTTCGCATGATAGTTAGCCATATTATGCTTATCGTCAATAACTGAAGCTACTGATTCCTTGGTCTTCCAGGACACCATTGTGGTACATCGAGCACTTATGCCCTTTTATATATTTCATTACGTCCAATGGACTCCAAGATTTCTCCGTTTCATGAAAATTTCAACAAAAAAAAAAAAAAAAAAGGAAAAAAAAACAATCAACAATCGTTAGTACAAAGCATGAACATAAAACTCGAGCTTTAACGGTCACCGATCGGTGAGTGATAATATTCAAGAAATGTGCCATTAGAAAATCTTCCCAACGATATTGGAAACATAAACAACAAAAAAATATAGATACATAGATCCTCAGAATCGTCAGATCTACAACAAAATTTACGACAAAGGTTACATATCATGAAAAAATCCTATTTACGTAGGATCCACATTTAGATTTTGTACTTACTGAACCGATCGTGTATAAATAAAAAAATAAGACTCATATTTCCAAATTTGTAAAAGCAAATTGAAGGGCATCAACAATAGGAATTTGGTAAAATAAATGAGGAATCACAAAGCGTAGCTTTTAATTTTTTAGAATGTCGATCGTAAAATTTAGGTAAATATTTTCTAAATGAGAGAACACAAGTAATAAAAGAAAAATCGATGACAAAAAAGGGTGCGTTCGACTTGGAGTACTCGCCTTTGTGTGAATATTTGCACATCCTGTCTTCCACATTTACGTGGAAGAGTTGTGTTTTCTTTTGGTTTTTTTTTCTTTTTTGTTTTTTGTTTAGCAGCCGAAAAACATTGGCGCTTCTATTAACGTGGCAACATGTCACCGATCTGATAGTATATATATATGTATATATGCCTCGACGCGCCAGGAAAAACCATAAAAATTGAAAAAACTGTATCGTACAAAAAAAACTCGTACTCTATTAATTCTTCTATCCTTTCTTCACTCATAGCACGTTACGCGCGCTCTATCTTTCTCTAATATGCAAGCCTTTATTATCGATGCATTTTTAAAGAAAAATATGTCATGGTCAAATTCAAACCTTTATTATCAATGCATTTTTAAAGAAAAACATGGTCAAATTTTGATAATAAAAAAAAGGGGCCTTATTGTGTAGGAGCCCAGACCTTTCCCCCTCTTTCCCCTGCGTTAGGTATCCCCCGCGCCTACGAGTATTTCCCCGCACCCCGCGTTCCCCTCTAGCCCCTGGGTTAGAACCCGCCTTTTTTTACTACTGACATCATAACTTATTGCAATTGCTGACACTTTTAATACATACATCTTTTATAAATTTTTGAAAGCAAAGAAATGCATTAAATATTTTTTATCATTAATCATTATTAATCATTTTATGTTACAAAAACGTAAAAATTCTACTGTGATTCTGACCATTGTAATGATTTTTCAGCATTAACATCCATCCAATCAAAAACATTCAGTTTTTCCAGAGATGCAATCCACGATTCTAAGTAATTTTTCATTGTGACATGAAAATTATGAACTTCTGCGATGAATTCTTCAGTACTTTGTCCAATATTTGCAATTTTATTCAGAATTTCTTTCACTTTTAATGGCATGAATTTCTAGTTAATTCGCTCATTCAAATTAAGAACAAATTCTTTTAAAATTTTTCTTACTTCGATAATAGAATTGTCAACTCTTTCCAGTTTTTCAATATTCGTATGCATTATGTTCATAGTTGAATGTATTACAAACAAAAAAGCTTCATTGAAAGTGTTTTCGAAAAAATTTTTTAACACTTTTGATGGATTATCTACACTTAAGAAATAGTGCTTCAATGGTTCAAATAATTTTAATAACCGTTGAATAGCAGGATATAAACTTAACCATCTCGTCTTTGAGTGATATAAAAGTTTAAAGTATTCGATTTCAGATTGTTGGCACAAATCTTTCAAAGCTTCTGTTCTTACAGTAAATATTGCAAAATAATTGAAAATTTTCATTACAATAGATTCTATATCCATAGAAAAATTATCATCAATTAGCCTTTATGAACTGTGTTGTTAATAATATGCGACAACCAATGCCAATTATTTCTTTATGAAGCCTATTTTTTAATTTAGCGTAAACATTATTTTTTTCCTATTCTGTTTTTATCACAAAAATTTGTGTTACAGTTATTAAACAACACATTTTAGATCACAATAAATGTTTTTCCAATTCACTTTGAATTACATCAGTAATTGTATCAGAAGTTTCGTCAGTTATTTCTAGAATTTTTGTTGTAATACCCCTATTATGAACATCGTAATATTGAATAAGTATAGATAGTAATTTTATTGATCCATGATTACTGGTATCGCACTGAAACACTTACAAAAGACACTTCTTCAATTTCTTTCATCATTTTACGTTTCGCTAGAGGAGATAATACATTTTAATTATTGCAGTGGCTTTAATTCTATTACAAGTAGCAGTTTTGGCAATATGAGAATCTTGAAATAATAATTTATTCAAATTCATAGTGCAGTCAAGAGATATAAATGACATATGATGATATATTGTGTGATATGCAATAGCTCCTTTAAGTGTGCGAACTTTTTCATTTTCGGATGATTTTGAAAAAAAAGTATCAATTTTTGAAGTGCCAGCTTGATTTTCGTCCCATTGCTTTTTTGTATTAAATGTTCCTCAATATGCGTTACCTCAATATACGTGCCTTTATTTGCGACTGAAAAATTTGATGAACATAAGGTGCACACTACTTTTCAATGTGAACGTCCACATTTCAAAAATGGATATTTTCTTTGTGTATTAAATTTACATTTTCTCTTTGGCATCTTGTTATTTCTGAAATAAAAGTTACGCAAAGTAAGTAAATTATAAAAGTAAATTATATTTATTATCTTTTTTTATTAAAATTCGTACGAATTAATGTAAACTATTTTGCTGCATAGGTAGGTATAAATACGTAGCAATGCTGTGAAATTAATGAAACTGCAATCTGAAATATTTGGAAGAGAACCGTGAAAACGTAAATAAGAAAACCTAACCAAAATATGCACGGTGACTCGGTGTTTATTTGGCAATGAGCTGTGTGCCGGCACGCAGAAATGCTAGATGGCGCCGACGACAGACGATTGCAGCATTGTTTAATACCACATCAGCGCGATGTTCATCGCGCCGGTCGCGCGCGACACGCGATATCCAATGAACGTACAGCTTTACCGATGTTCTCATTCTAAAGCTATATGCTTATTGAATATCGTATGTCGCGTGAACGCGACGAACATCGCGCTAGTGTGCAGCTGGCATTCTTACTATATGCGGATAAATTTTATTCTCAACCTGCAGGGCTGCCAATCTTTAATGTCAACACTACACTTACACGCCAAAGTTTTTTTTGTCATCCAGTCAAAAAATATTTCCTTTTTATATAAAACCCCGAACTCTCATGATTATCTCGGACGCCTTTCGAAAACCCCCTCGGACGTCCCCGCATGTCATAAAAAAGAGGATGGTGTCCGGGGAAAAGAGGACAACCCTACGTGAATGAGAAGTAGGACACAAATACAATTCACAGCTTTCAAAAGCTGAATTTTTACCTTTACTTTTCGTTTTTATTGACATCTGTAGGATTTTTTTTTACCGAGTTATTTAATATTAAAATAAAAATGGTTCTTTTGCCTTTGACTGCTCATAAGAGATGAAAGGAGTAACGTACAGCATTCATTAAAAAAGAGAAAAAAAATTCAAAATTTTTTCTTTAAGGTATTTTTATTATTTTTTCTGTTAATGCGTATGAGTCAGGTCGTCTACCTCATCGGCAATCTCGATGAGGCGATGGAACAATCCTATTTGATCTACATGTAATTGAGTGAGATCAATTATGATATCACTCTGAACCGAGAAAGAGGAGGAGGACGAAGAGCAGACAGTCTCCTCAACTTTTTGCAGTTCTTTTTGTATGTTATAGCTGCAAAAAAAAAATTATCACTTCATTTAATCACATAAAATGTGCAACAATATTCTACCATTAACGCTAAATAGAATATTGTTGCACATTAGGAAAAAAAAATATCACTCACGTTATAATACGTCTTGCGCGCGGACAAAGTAGGACAAAGTCTAACGTTGAGAATCGATTTTCGCCGCAGCGAGCCTGCCTAGGATTTATCTATAGGCGGCAGTTGTATATAAAACACTTTAGATCATAAATGTCACGAGAAAAGTTATTGCTATAGCGCGTCGAAGTATAGGGTGAATGGATGGATGGATGGGAAGTAAAGAAAGTACATATATAGTGATGTGAATGAAAAAAATTTTTTATTCGTATTATTACATCGATTCTTTTTTGTACGTATTAAAAACTAAAGCCAATAGCTCGCAATCGACGAGCTGATGTTTGTTAAAGATGTCACTATTGCGTATTGTGTCTTCGAACGCGATGTTGGAGAATCGCGTATACTTGACATCAACCGTATCGACGAGTTGGACTAATCGTTCAAACGTTACATTGATACATCTGTCAAACTTAAATATACGTCGTAGCGTCATTTCGGTCATCATCATGCGTATAGACGAAGAATCGAGACGTATGAACGTTCGGCATGCAAACGCTGACGCTTATCGAGAGACAGCGGCAGTTTATGTCCGTGATGATCTTCCAGGGTGATCTCACGTAACTCGGTGGACCAACGTTGATTTCAATTTCCAAAAATTTGTAGCCCGTAGTCGTCAGATTGTAACGTCTGCTCAATAAACGCACCTCGCTCCATGCTGTGTATATACATAATGTTAAAAACTTTTCTTTTGTGTATAGAATGTTAAAACTTACATGTTACTGCAGTCCTTGGTTTCGTACGATGCGTTGCTGTCTTTAGCGAAGTACATTTTTTACCGTTCGTACAAGCGAGTATCGCAAGACTAATTGCACCCGCGTAAATTGCGATGTATATGATAAAACTTCTAGAATCGAAGAGGGAGTAACCCTCTCCCTCTTTCCAAGAATTGCGAACATGTCGCGACATGTTTTATTGCGTCTTTCTACGTATTTTCTTTGTTCGCGAGTTTATCAATGTTTATACTTTATGATTTATATTTCGATAGCATCGATGACATTGATGTTGGTGACTTTAAATGCCTTTTCTAAGGATCTTATTCCCAATATCTCGCTTTTTCTTTTGATGGCGGTGGACTTGGCAAACTTGGCGATATCGGACGGTACTCCTTTCATTCGATTGATTTTCGGCGTATATATTCTTTTATTCGATCCATGTCTTGACGCTCGTAACTGAAGCTTATTATTGAATGAAAAAAGTCTAATACACTGTCTATATACATTGCATATATGTACTGTCAGATCGGACATGTCGCGACGCGTTTAACAGAAGCGTTGATGTTTTCGGATATACATACATGCGTACATACGTACATACATATACGTTCATACACATACGTTCATACATACACGTTCATATATACGAGTACATGTATTACAAAGGAAGGGAAAAAAAAAACGTAATAAATACATTAACATATTTTTATTTAAAAAATTCTTTTGCAACCTCAGTTATATATTTTCAATACATTGCGCAATTCTTAACATGTTGTCCACATCACATAGTAACAGATTAGTAACAGATTAGTTAAAGATTTCATGTTTTCGTAAACTGCATCCAAGGTCTCGATGTACATGCGTTCTCGCTTATCGTCCAAAAGCAAGTTCCACAGCCACGTTCGTTTCTCGCGTCCCTTAACGTACACGATAACGTCATCTTCAAATACAGCTGCCGTGATTAGGCGTTTCGCCTCGTTGTACGGGACCATCCCATCCCTCCATCGCAATCCATAGTGATAAACAGTCAATCAGGAAGCGGAGACCTGTCGGATCTTGTCAAAAATTTCAATGGCACGGAACTCGTAAAAATATAATGTGTGAGAACGGTCCCCTGTTTCAACACTGCCACTTCCTTCACGAAAAATTTCTTGTTAACGATGAATCCTTGCAGATCCACGAACGTTGGCACGAGCATGTTGTCGAGAAAACTGCGGTCGATTGCGGTCGATTGCGACCTATCATAGATCTTATACCGTGTCAGAGGTGCACTTAGGTAATTTTGGGCACAACGTTGGTCAATGGATTATATTCAACCACGCGATCGTGTATAATGAGACAATAGGCTGTTGTATTTGCGGGTACGTTCTTTTTACATTCAAAGTCTAATCGCACGTCCACAGTGCCACTCTGACCGATTCGTTCTGTCCAGAGCAATCGATGATCACGAACGGACCATTACGTAAAAATGTTGTAAAGGTGAGACTCGGCTCAAGATACTCGTATTCGTAGGAGCGCAGAAACGCGCGTACAAGTCGTACAGAATCGCACATCTGTTTCTATCAAAATCCAGATTCAAGTCATACGGAACGTTCCGAATTCAAGTAGAATTTCGCATTGGCTAATTTGCAGTCGTCGAATCGACTTATATCCTTAGGCATGACGTTTTTTCGATCTGTTTGTTAAAATAACGTAGCGCGGCTTCTCGAGCTGAGTAGCCGTCTTGATAGCCCACGAATGCTAGGTTGTGCTCTGCAAGAGCGGAAACTCGTACAGATCCTACGAGCGAAAAGATCATGCTCAGATATCGTCCACTCTCCAAAGCGCGCAGCATCGAGCTTATTTATCTCGCTCAATAACACGTGCGACATTCGCCATTGTATTTTGAATAATTCGAGCTCTATCGTCAGGATCTCCCGTCAGACAATTGTTGTCGTTGCGCGCTCGTATTAAAATCAATCGTAACGAGCGTTGATCACTACGCGTTTGTAATCTTCTCAAAAACCCAGCTGTACGTAGAGCGGTAAACAGAAATTAAAGGATCTGGTTGCAGTAGTCTGCGCATCCCAGCATTCCGTAGAATCACCCTTCTGTCGGATGACACTGTTACATAGTTCTTGAGCGTGCTAGTTATGCGTACATTTCTGTTACGGTCAATCTCCACATCATTGACTTCATATCGAATCTCATCGAATATGAACGCGACGTAATTATTTCCCAATGCCACATGAGCACCCTGGACCACTTTGTTCTTCGTCAGTTTTCCCTCGATGTATAGAAAGCTTTCATACGGCAGTGTGTACAGATCCTGTTGCTGTATTCTTATTTCGTCGCTGTATCCAAACATTGTGTTGACGCACGGGCTGTACGTGTGAGTCTCAATCTTGACGATGCGATCGTCGAAGATCGGCTCGTCTTTAATGTTTAGGATATCAGTCATCTTAAATGTTGCGCACTGCGAATCCCAAAGACTTTAAAAATGTAACGTTCGACGCGCTAAGTTTCTTCTTCTTCCTGATGCAGTTGGATGAGCGAGTATTGTCGAGCTGTGACGTCACCGGCCTTGTAAAGAATGTGGCATCTCTCTGCGTACACTCCGTTCCGTTCAGCACGAGCATCTCACGCTCACGTCATCACTGTCATCGTGCAATTCAACGTCGACATATCATCTTTTCTCCTCGGAAATCGAGCCGTTCTGATCGACGATGCGTATCGTTAGATCCGTAATGATCCGTGCAATGATCGGCAGGGAAATGATTTGCGCCAGCCTCTCCGATATCTTATATCCTGGCGGCACGCTCGGCGAAAATTCGTGTATCGTGTGCGCTTTTGCCGTTGCTATACGCGCCTGCGGTCACATTACACTCTACGCGGATAACGTTTACGTTTATTATGTTGATCGACATGTCCGATTCGTGCCATCTTCGCGGTCGCAGTATACGCTTCGACGAGAATCCCAGCAGCGATCCAATGCTGTTGGATTTGCCAAAGTTTATTCTGTATGCACATTTAATCGTGTTGTAATTTGCGCGAAGCGTAATCGGGTATTCTCCACCCTCACCATTATCATTATCATCATCATCAGTGTTATTGTTGTTGTGGTTGTTGTTGTTGTTATTATCACCACGCACTACGTCAACGGTTTCAAGTGCGTCGGGGGGCGAACGTTTCCGTAAAATTGTACGTTTCAAAATTCATTTATGTCTCGCACTTCGTACGAACCCTCAGGAATTGTAATTTCTGCGTCGTCTTTGCCAAAATAAAATTTATTGTTCGATTTGTTTACATTCGGTATCGTGTGATAAGTCTGAAAAATCACCAGACCGAGCTCGTAATCGCCGTCACTCAAATCTATGGAGGGAAAGTAGTTCGCCGCAAGGATGGTGCTCTTCCCGCTCAGCGTAAGTGTCAGCGACATGACGGAACAAGCGTTCGACTAATACTGAGATTTTACAGCACCTCGTCGAGCTTTTTAAATTCACGCGCGTCTACCGTATGTAGAAACCGCAGACACATTTGACCGCAGAAGCTCTGATCGTACGTCTGATAGGACGTACGATTGTACTCTATCGTCGTAGCACCGTTCTCGAAATATCACACCAGTTCCTTGGGCGGACCGAAACTATCAAAGTATACGACGCGGTTGTTTCTCTTGGCGTACACTACCCAATGAGTACCAGGCCCGGTCGCATCGTCCAGATTCACGATACCGCTTTCGTTTCGACGCGCCCCGCTCGTCGGTAAAGCGTTACGCATGAAGACACCTCTAAAGTACGGTACGCGCATTCGTCTCGCGAGCACGTCCAATTGCACGTTGGTAGTTGCACCCGAGGGCATTTTTATCGTCTCTTTGGCGTTTTTCTTTTCTTCGCTGCTACACCCTGTCCGCGTTTATAGGGGCTGAGATACAGTCCGCGTCCATATTTGTGCGGAGCGAGATACAGGTCGCGGCCCTGTTCCATCGCGCGGTCGTGACGTTGCAGCTGCTCGAGCTGACGTCGCGCGGCTTTGCTATCGTTTACCACTTTCGCCACTCCGCCAATCAAGGATCCGAGTGCGCCCAACATTGGCATAAAAGGTAACGCAAGTAGGAATAATAGGCGGGTTCTAATAGTCAGGTCCTCTGAGGAGGGCGCGGGGTGCAGGGGAAACTCATAGGCGCGAGGAGTACTGGTAGGTGCGGGGAAGGGAGGGGGAGATGCGGAAAGTCCCAGCGCTATCGGTGTTTATTGATATGATACCATGGTGATCGCCATATGTTGTAATGTTATGTATTGTTGGGAGCCGCCGTCACCCCACACCCCGCCGCAGGCCCCAGCGCCTCCGCCGCCGCCGCAGACCCCGCGTCCATCCTTAAAAAAAAAATACGTTTCAAACAGCCACTGCGGAGTCCACTCCCTAAATGCATGGCAATATTATAACGCAAACAAGAAATATTAAAGAAAACA